CCCCCCCCCCTTTGATGTGTTGTACTGGTTTTGGTTTTGGTTGGTTGTTGGTGATAGATAGGGAGAATAGATAGAAGGTGGTTGGTTGGGTGTACCCAAGATCATGTCGGGGTGATGATGCAGGTGGTGATGGTGGCGAGATGCCGCGGCCGCCGCGGAGGCCAGGTAGGTCCGGGCCAGGCGCTGGCCGTCCTGCTCGGCCAGGGAGTGGCGGCGGATGCCGCTCGGGCCGCCACCCTGCGGCGGCACCAGGGTGCCGGAGAGGAAGACCAGATGCCCGCGTCGCTTGGCCGTCCAGGCGATCCACAGCTGGCTGCCGCCCTCGGTCACGAGCCGGCACTGCACCCGCGACCACCCGCCACCATCCCTCTCCGACGTCATCATCATCTTCTTCGAAGAAGTCGGAGTCGAAGTAGAGGACGAGCTGTAGGATGAGGAGGATCTTGTTGTAGAGGAAGGGGTGGATGTCAACGTCGTCTGTGTAACAACTTCTTCACCATCTTCATCTTCTTGTTGTTGTTGTTGGGCTCCCGCTACTCGCGGCGGTTCGATGTCCGCCTCGCGTGGTGCCGAGTAGAGGTCTCCGCCCAATAGCTGCTGTAGTTGATGGTGATGTGTTGGTCGGTGGTGCCGTTCACAGGGTGGATCTGTCTTGGCTCGTCTACTCACCAGGTTCTCGTTCTCGTCGGCTCGGCTTCGATCTTCTTCTTCTTCTTCTTCATCATGAGCCTCCTTCCCCTCCTTGGCCTTGACGGGCTGCCCCACGCCCAGCACCCGCTTCATCTTGGGCCAGTCCTCCCTGACGATGTAAACTCGGAGGGGCACTTCGTCCTCGCCCACGTGGGACAGGAGGTGTCGGCGCAACGCCCTGTTTTTTGGCTCCATCGATGACCGCACTACGCGTTGTTCGTTCTCTTCTTCTTCATCTTCATCTTCTTCTTCTGCTCCTTCTTGACCGTCATCTTGAAGGAGGAAGGGGCCGCCGCCACCATATCCAGTCACCTTCCGAAAGGTGTGGCTGGCCTGAAGGATGGTACCGCCGTTTCCGCTGTTTATCACCACCATCATCTCCATGAACGGCGAGACGAGACGGTTCCACTCCATCTGTCTGTCTTCTCTATCCGCACTGGCTCCTCCGCGCGTGCAGAAGGCCAGCCTCTTCTCCTCCGTCAGCTCGTCCTTGTCGGCGCCCCAAAAGAAAAAAAGCGCACAAAAAACGAAAGTGGCGAGCGATCCGGGAGAAAACTGGGCCGAACCAGAATTTGGAGAACGCGAGCTGGCGCCCATTGGTCTACGCTAATATGAGGCAACTTTCGTCCCGAAATTCGACGGTAAGCAGCACGAAAGCCGGCGTATCTTAGAAACGATCTCACGTTCCGGGATACGTTAGGATACGGGGTTGGTATGGTGACCTCATTACGGAACTCGCGACTTATGCACCAATAACTCCCCATATTGCGTGTCGCGCACTTTTCCTCATTCAACACCAGATTCGCGATCAGACTTTACATCGTAGAAGATGGAGTAGCGCATGAAGATGAGGCAAACGCTTTGATTTTTTTCAAATCGCTCTACGAATCATCTTGCTCTTTGGTGTGGAATGCATTGGATGGACCCCACCGCTCGCGTACGCGCTCGCAGGGGAAGAGCGGCTTGCCCAGTTGCTGATTTACTCGATTGTGCGCGCGGCACATCCAGTCCGAGAGCGCATCGTGGGATTCGAGCTCGGGCGGGATCTCGTCCATCGTCTCCTCGAAGTCTTTGGCGCACACCTTGCAGGGGTAGAGGTGAGGGAACAGGGAGAGGAAGCTGCGCATGCGCTCTTGGTGCTGCCGCGACGGCTTGGGCGGGTAGTAAGCCGCCATGCTGTGGAGTAGCGTCCAGCCTGCCTGGCCCAGCTCGATCACATCGGGTGCGTCCTGCTTCTCCCAGTAGCCCTCGCTGTCGTAGCACTCGGTGGTGTTCTCATTCGATGCATCCTCTTCTGTGCCGGCAGATGTTGCCGTGGCGTCAGTTGACGTCGTGCCGCCATCTTGCTCCTGAGCCGATCTCTGTTCTCGTGCTTGCTGCTGTGAGCGGAACCTTCTGCGCATGTCGCTGCCGTAGAGTCCGCCCGCTCGTGGCTTACATGCACCACAATCTTCTTCATCTGCACCACCCACCACGAGTTGATCACCCTCTTTCTGCAGCTTCTCCTTAATCTTCTTGAATTGCTCCATGACTTGCTCGCAATCGTTCTGTTGTTCGTTGATGCGAGTTTTGTAGAGCCAGGCCTGATTCCTTCCTCGAATTTCTGTTTAATTTAGAGCTACATTGTTGATTGCAGAGGAGCTGAGGTAGTGCATCGCCCACGCTGCAACCTTAGCAGCCAAGTGGTGAGCCGTGCCGTGCCATGAAGAAGATTTTTGGGTGGCTCAGCCAGGCGCCAGCACCAAACGAGCAAGATGAAGAGCAAGATGAGGAAGAAGAGAGCTTCATCAACTGTGAACAGCTGCTGCCACCCCTGAGCGGCAGCCTCACCGAACGAAAGGAGGAGCCCACACCTCCTTCCTCCCCTCTCCTCTACAACAGCCAAGAGGTATTACCCCCCCCCCCAACCACAGATCGCTTCTTTCTCATCTTTGCTCACCCGATGCACACAGGGCGTGCGCAAGATGCGAGTGACGCTCTTCGTCAACGGTGCCCGCTCTGGCGGCAAAGTCATGCTGGTACTTGCCGGCCCACCACCCACACGTCATTGTGCAACCAGACACTCATCACTGCGCGTGTCGTGTCGTGTCGCTGGTCGTGTCGTTGGTCGTGTCGTGTGTCGTGTCGTCCGCACCCAGTTGCGCCCAACCGACACCCTCCTCGAGTTCCTGCTCAACGCGAGCAAGAAGCTGGGCACCGATGCGAAGCGAGTGTTCACTAAGTACGTGCGGCACTGCCACGCGCGCGAGGCTCAAAACTAACGCGTGATTGAATGCACACATTCACGCGTGCTCAGGGACGGTGGTGAGGTGGACGACGTGGAGGAGATCAATCCCGACGACCTGCTGTACATATCACAGGGCGAAGACTTCATCCCTCTGCTCTCACAGGGACCGCCTCCGCCGCCGGTGGCCACAACGTCACACACTACCGCCACTACCACCTCGCTTCCATTCACTGCCTCCGCCACGCCCATGAAAACAGAGCAAAAGGAGAACACGAAGAGGATCTATGATGACGACGAGGCTGAGATGGAGGAAGAGGAGCAGGCGGAAGTACCTGAGGCAACTGCGACGACGACCACGACCGCGACGATCCAGTCTTTTGGATACACTGGGCCGCCGACTCGCTCTTTCTCTTCGTTGTCGTCGTCGTCGTCGTCGTCATCTTCGTCTTCTTCGTCATCGTCGTCATCACTGGGGTTGAGTGCCTCGGCGGCCTTTGCCCAAGCGACCCGGAAGGTGACCGTCACCGGCAGCGTGGGAAGACTCTCGCCGGCTGAGGAGGAACGCTACCACAAGTGCTTGAAGACCTACTTCGGCTACTCCTCCTTCCGCCCTCTCCAGGTAAGCCGTGCGTGTGCGTGTGCGTGTGCGTGTCTCAGTACTCAGCTTCTCCTTCTCCTTGATGATGTGCAGCTGGAGGTGATTCGGGCGTGTCTCGAGGGCAAGGACTCGTTTCTGTGCATGGCCACGGGTGCCGGCAAGTCCCTGTGCTACCAGCTGCCGGCCCTGCTCACCCAAAAGGCACGCGCAGCCCATCCACCCTCAGACCACTACAACCATCAAGAGCCTCACCTTCAAATCGCATTTTTCTCCTCCAGGTCGTGGTGGTTGTCTCCCCGCTCATCTCCCTCATGGTGGACCAGGTCCTCGCGCTGCAACAGTACGGCCTCCTTGATTTATTTCTTTATTATTATTGTGCTATTTTTATTTTTTACTGGGATTGGTTGGGTCGACAAAAATCAAATTCCCACAATTTTGGTGGTTCGCCGGGGTTACAAGTGGCCGTTTTGGCCGGTGCTTGCCGACCAGTCCCGTGGGCCCTCAGCAGACAACCCCACCTTCTCCGTTCCCCTCCTCTTCCCTGATTGAGCCCCCGCCCTATGGCTGGACGCGCCTTTGGGCCGAAGAGCGCGAACAGGGCGGAGAGCGCACCTTGTGCGGCGCGGCGCTCCCCTCTCTTCTTTTCGGTAACGAAAGGAGCTTGTGCGGGTGTCGATGTCGGCCTGGGTGTGTTGCGGTGGTGGCTGTGCGGGAGGGGATGGTGAGAGTCTTTCTCGCCGGTTGTCGTTAAGGCATGGCTTCAGCGGGTGAGAGCAAGAGATGAGTTACATAGTACGGCGCTGTTCCACTCCCAGGCAGGCTGTCTCCATGGCTCCAACATTCTCTTCAGCCAACCGCAATCAATCAATCAAAGAGGGGTCAGCGTTTACAGCACTCTGTTGATATTTTATCAACATATAGATGAAGATTAGTAATGGGAGAATGTTGATATATTCGTACATTTGTTACATGCAGGGCCAACGTGAAGGCCTGTCTGCTGGGCAGTGCGCAGAGGGACAGTGCGGTGGAGCGGGACGCGTGCAACGGCAAGTACAACTTGGGTAGGCCTGCCACTAGTCTCTTTATAAGAAATGCTTGTATGGTGGGACTCTTGTAGAATCTCACCTTTCGCTTTCGTTTCAGTCTACATGTCGCCGGAGAAGATCGTGAACATGAAGCGACAGCTGCAGGAGCTCGAGGAGAAGAAGCTCCTGGTCCTGCTCGCCATCGACGAAGCCCACTGCGTCAGCGAATGGGGGCACGACTTCAGGTTGATGACCACACACACACACACACACACACGCCCGCGCGCGCACCCAGCACACACAACACGACATAACTCAATTCTTTACTCTCCGCAGGCGCGAGTACCGGGAGATGGGCAAGGTGCGCGAGTGGATTCCGTCGGTGCCGGTGATGGCCGTGACGGGCACGGCGACGGGCAGCGTCGAGTCGGACATCATCGCATCGCTCGCCCTGCGCCACCCGGTGATCGCCAAGTCCTCCTTCGCGCGGCCCAACCTCTTCTTCTCGGTCGCCATGAAGTCGGCGGACACCTCGGCTGACCTCAAGAAGCTCCTCTTCCCCTCTTCTTCTTCCTCCTCCTCTACCACTTCGTCGTCGTCTTCGTGGATCACCACTCGGCGCAGCCCCTTGCAGCTGCAGGAGTCCGTCATCATCTACTGCTTCACCATCAAGGAAACTGAACAGATCGGTACAGCCTCCCCTCTCAGCGATAATCGTGTGTGCTGTGTGTGTGTGCTGCGCGCGCGCGCGCGTGTGTGTGCGTGTGTCTCGTGTCGTGTGTGTGTGTTGTGGCTGATTGGGCTCGGTCCTCGAGTGAAGCTTCGTTGGTGCAGGCGATGGGCGTACGCGCGGAGGTGTACCACGCCAATTTGGGTCCCTCCGTCCGCGAGGAGGTGCACAAGAAGTTCGTCACCGACCAGGTCGAGGTGATCGTCGCCACCGTGGCCTTTGGCATGGGCATCGGTAGAGCCACCCTCCCCGTGCCTCTCACATTTTTCCACATTCCGCCTTCTCACACCACTTTTCTCTTTCCTCTTTTCTTTCTTCTTCTTTCATTTTTCTTTGTTTGTTTGTTGGGTGCGCCACCACCATCTGCAGACAAGCCCGACGTGCGCAAGATCATTCACTTCGGGCCTCCCAAGTCCCTCGAGGCCTACTATCAGCAGGTACCGCCCCGGCACGGTCTGCCGCTATCACCCATTCGGCCTGGCCCTAATCATTTTTACCGTGTTCCGTGCGCGCGTGTGGCGTGTGTCGTGTGCGGCGCGTGTGGCATGTGTGGCGTGCGTGCGGTGGTGGCAGGCTGGGCGTGCGGGGCGGGATGGTGTGGCGGCGAGCTGTCACCTGCTGTATGCGCCGGTGGATCTCACCGGCTATCGCTTCCTGTCGGGCGGCCAGGCCGACCGGCTCAAGATGGGGAGCGCCGTCGCCGCCTACGCCTCCACCACCGCCTGCCGGCAGCAGCACCTCCTCCAGTACTTTGGCGAGCAGGTGTCCTCCCCCCTCCCGCCCCATCGGCTTACCGACCGCTCGGGTGCTTAGAACGTGTCGTGCGTGTCGTGCGTGTTGTGCGTGTCGCGTGTGTCGTGCGTTGTGTGTCGTGTTTAGGCGCCGCCATGCGGGAATTGCGACAATTGCCTGCAGCCACCGGATTCGCGGGACTTTGCCGAGGAGCCCCTGCTCCTCCTCAACACCATCAGCCTGACCGGCGGGGTAAGCGCCTCCCCCCATAAGCCCCGCGTGGATCATTCCTTGCATTCCGCCCGTTTGGCCTGTGCCCTCACGGTGCCCCCCTCTTTTCTTCGTCTTGTTGTCCGCAGAAATTCGGAATGGCGATCGTGATCGACGTCCTGCGCGGGTCGAGGGCGGCCAAGATCCTGCAGTACAAGTTCGACCGTCTGCCCACCCACGGTACCTCGCCCAGCGCACACGACACGACCAACGCCACGACACGACCATGATATACGCTCATACAAACGCGACCAGGCCAAGGAAAGCAGTATTCGAAGGAGTGGTGGGGCGCGTTGATGCGTCAGCTGATGTGCCAGGGCTACATCGCCGAAAACATTCGGGACCTCTACAAGACCTACGCCGTGTCCGCCAAGGGACTCAAGTGGACCAGTTACGACGCTCCCCCCCTCTCTCTAGCGCGCGCTACCTCTCCGCTTCGACCGACTGACACACGTGTCGTGTCGTGTCGTGTCGTGTCGTGCCGTGCCGTGCCGTGCCGTGCCGTGCCGTGCCGTGCCGTGCCGTGCCGTGCCGTGCCGTGCCGTGTTCCTGTGCGGCGTGTGCGCACAGATGTGGGATACAAGGCGGGCGAGCGGATGGTGCTGCCGATTCCGGTGGAGATGCGGCAGGAGGAGAAAAATCGCGCGCAGGTCAAGGAGCGCCAGAAGCTGATCACCGACCACCAGCAGCTGCGCTTCATGGACACGAACGTCGAGGAGCTCTTCGGCAGCCTCATCAGCCTCAACCGGTACGCTCCGCCCCCTTCGCCCGCGATCCGTCAACAAGGCCACTTAACATCTCGCGTGTCGTTGATCGTGTGCGGTGGTGCGTGTGCGGTGGTGCGTGTGTGCGGTGGTGCGTGTGCGTGTCGTTGGTCGTGTCGGTCACAGGGAAGAGGCGCGGAGTCGTGGTCTGGCGCCGTACATGGTGATCCCGATCGCCGTGCTCGAATCGCTGGCCCGGATCCGGCCCACGACCGAGGCCCGCTTCCGGGCCATCGAGGGCGTCGACGATCACAAGGCGCGCACCTA